ACTATTTTTTTGTAGTGAACGCGTAATTAGATTCCATAATTCTCATCTTGCAATCATCAAAATTTTAATACAAGCATATCCAAATAAACTTCATTCTCTCATGTCTAAACCAAACAAAATCTCCAGATCTCATTCTTTATTCACACAATCCATCAAACACCTTATAGGCATTCAACTTGATTGAACAATCAAACATAATCCACAACTTGGCAGCCATCATCATTGCTAATATGCATACACTAATATATATATATATATTTCAGCATCCACATTCAAATAAACATCATCTAATCCGTCATACCATAATACTACCTCCTGTTCTTAATATAAGAGCTTATTTGACTTTTATTTTGGTTTTAAATATAAGACCCCAGTCTGCCTTGTCTCTTATATTTATTCATTTTTTCCCAATGTAGATCTTATAATAATAGTAGTTCTAGCCAATACACTTGATTAGTGAGAATGTTTTAAGAAAGACGACACTTATTTATTTCAAATAACTAACTTAACTAATTTTTTTAATCTACTCAAATTAGTTAACTAACTTTTATATTAAGGATCAGAGATAGTATATCAAAATTCAATTCAACACATCCCCCACCATCAAAGCAACACCAAACTCAAAATAATACTCTGTTCATTTTTTATTATAAGAGACATTTGATGCACATGGCATGTTCCTATATATATAAGGGACACTTGAAAGTTATCTCTAATTTTTTGTGTTAATTTTGCCCCCTATTTATTTGTCATATTATTATTATTATTATTATTATTATTATTAATGTATTTAATGTTACTCCATTTTCTTTACCCAAAAAAAAATGTGTCTCTACTATGAGCCCAAATCACGATGAAGATAGAGATGTTATTTTGAATATTGTGAGATATGAAACCAAACGGGTGGACTTGGAGAATGGCAGGAGACATCATCATCCCATCTTCACTCTCTCTTTTCATCGCTTAGGAACGTCTTTTTTTTCTAGGAAAAATTTCGTTTAAAAACCATATAGTAAATTAATCTCAGTCAATTCTCAAAATATTTAAAAATTTTAGTCAACCCCTTAGACCAAAATGAAATTAAAATTTAAGAGGAAAATTACAATATTACCCCTCCTTTTTATTTTTTTAAAAAAGTAAATATTAATAGTCACTGGAACTCCAGCCACTGGAAGTCGGATCTCTGGTGGCTAGAGGATTTTTTTTTTTAAATAAGGTGGCCAGGAAGGTTTGAACCCATGACCCCTTAACACACAAAAAATAATGTAACTACTAAGCCAACCAAACTATTTAATTATATAATGCAAAGAAAAATATATATAACAGAACAAATACAAGTGCCCAAGTATAAATGAACAAGAGAACTTCATTAAATTTGCAAGTAAAATCCAGCAATTGACAACAAAAATTTGGCGATTTATAAGTAATATAGTGGAATTCACAACCCTAAATACAAGTATTTATGTGTAAATGAGCAAGTAAAATTCGAAAATTTACATAAAAAAATTTATGAATTTATAACCCAAATTCAGCGATTTATAAGAAATATAAGAGAATTCACAATTCCAAACATAAGTGTTTGAGTGTAAATGAACAAGTAAAATTCAGCAATTTACAACAAAAATTCAGCGATTTACAACTCAAATTCAAATATTTATAGGAAGCATAAATATTATAAAACTTATAAAAGAATTCACAACCTCAAAAGTTTTGCTAATTAAGACACCGGAGCTTATATTCAAGAAGGCTTCATTTGGGTTGTGAATTCTATTATACTCCTTAGACGCATTGTGCATTAATTTAAATTGTGCTTCAAATATCTAGATTTATTTCTTTTTAACTTGTGAATTTATTCATTATGATCTGTTAAATATATAGAAGTTATGAGTTAATTATCAAAGGCTTTGAAATGTGTGTGTGTGTGTGGGGAGCCAAAAGAAATGAAGACTTTACGTGGAGAATAGTATTATTGACAATATGTTGTCCATGTAACATTAATTTATATTGCAAACCATGTTTTAATATCTTATTCGTTGTGAAAAATTATAATATAATTACATTACTATGTATCTGATGAACACAAAATGGGTAAAAGAGCTAACTTAATTGAGATCATTAGCATTATGAAGAAACATAAATTAAATACTGGCAATATGTAATTAATTCTAATACGACATTACATATTCTTTTTTATTCGACCTAGCCTTAATTAGCAAAACTAAGAAGGTGTTGGTCTTCACTTAATGTCGACGAAAGCAATGAAGCCTCCCTGAATAGAAGTTCTGATGCCTTAATTAGCAAAATTTTTTAGGTTGTGAATTCTCTTATAAGTTTTTTAATGTTTATGTTTCCTGTAAATCTTTGAATTTGAGTTGTAAATCGCTGAATTTTTGTTGTAAATTATTGAATTTTACTTATTCATTCACACTCAAAGACTTACATTTAGTGTTGCAAATTCCCTTATGTTTCCTATAAATAGCTGAATTTGGATTATAAATCTATGAATTTTTGTTTAAATCTTCAAATTTCACTTGCTCATTCAAACCTAAACACTTACATTTGGGGTTATGAATTCCATTGTAAATCACCAAATTTTTTCTGTGAATTGCTGAATTTCACTTGCAAATTTAACAAATTTCGCTTGTTTATTTACATTTGGACACTTGTATTTGCTTTGTTATATATATATATATATATATATATATTTCTTTTTATTATATGAGTAATGGTTTGGTTGGCTTGGTGGTCATATTATTTTTAGTGTGCCAATGGGTCATAGGTTCAAACCCTCCTTGGCCACCTTATTTAAAAAAAAAAAAAAAATCCTCCGGCCACTAAAGCTCTGATCTCTAGCACCACCCACTTGAGTGTCGATAGTTGGACCTCTGACCTCTGGTGGCCAAACCTCTTACAACCATTAATATTTTTTTTTTGAAAAAAAGGAGGGTTAGTATTGTAATTTTACCCTTAAATTTTAATTTCATTTTGGTCCATCTTCTTTTTATTATTATGATGTCATCTAACCATATGTGTGGCTAGTCCTCTTTGTTCCTAAGGACAAGATGACGTAGCTTGAGTTTCTGTTTATATTATGGAATTTGTAAGTTTTCATATTTCAATCCACTAGTATGTTACTTTTATGAATTTCCTAGCTTAGATTTTAATTTTTTTTATGGACTGATATTTGATTTATAACTTAATTGAACAATTATGCTTTAAAGTTTTCAATAAATATATTTTCAGTTTCCTCATGATTCTATGAGTATTTATCTTTATAGGTTTCTATTTTAATTTGCACAAGTAGTTCATGCTCTAGAGTTTTTGATAGATAACTCTCTTCAAAGAACAAAATATAATTGTTTAATTGAATTCACAAGCTAAGTGGTTTTTAAATGATTAATTGAAAAGTGATTATAAGCTAGCTCTCTAGGTATAATTGTTAATTAATTAATCATGACTTAGATGTTATCTAGGGTTTTTCCTTTTCACTTGGTAATTATTTTTATACAAACTTCTCATCTTTTTGAATCGTGATAGCCAGTCATTAACGTCCTCAGAAAGTGCATCATTCTGGTAAAGTTTTCATTCCTTTTTCTTTCCTTTAATTATTGTTATTTCCCTTTTATGTTTTTGAATTTATTTTCTTAAAAAATCAATCAATTTTCTTTCCTACTCCTTCCTTTTCTACATCACATTTTTCTTAATTAAAAAGATTTTCAAAATTTTAACAAAACTCCTCATAGAGAGAAACGACCTAGGTTGACCTCTATATTATATAGGATTAATTTAATTAATTAATTTGAGAGCTTACACGACAAGATGATTACATATTTATTATTCTTAACTAATTTTAACTGTTTTTTATTAACGTAATTAAGTTATTCATCTCTTATAATAAGAAACGGAAGAAATAATAATAACAATAATCATCATCATCAGCATCATCACCATCATCATCTAATACAACCACAGGACGTTCATCAATTAAACTGTTACTCAATCTTAACAAAAATAAAAGATTTGAGTTTACCTAAACCCCAACTAGCAGCGACTAAGAAGGAAGAAGAAAGGAGAACGAAGCCCACTCCTTTCCAAGCTACCAAGATACAGAAGGAAAATTAAATCTGATTTAAAATCTTCATATTTTTAAGGGTAATTTTGTAATTTAACTCGTTAAAAATTTTATTAAAAAAAGTAAAATGAAAATCTTCTTTTTATGGAGCCAAAATTCAAAGTGGGTGCCTCACATACTAAACCTCCAATGCCACTCAACCACCAACTTCTCTTGGTTACTAAGTTACAATAAGTTATAAAAAAAATGCTAATTAACTTATAATTAAATTATCAAGGTTATTAAATGTATTATCTTTCTTTTATGTCTTTCTTAAATGAGATTTTTTTCCTCTTTTTTTTTTTTGGAAAAAATGGGCCTTAATTGCTACTTTCAACTATAGCCATTGTTATAAAAATAAAAATAAAAGTATAGCCATTGTTTTTCCTCTTTTTTTTCCTGTTTTCTTCTTCTTTTTTTCCCAATCTTACTTGACCAATTTATTATTATTGTTTATCTTAAAGATTCTCAAATATCTGGGGTTATTTCAATACTAAATGATATTGATTGGAAAAAAAAATTGTTGCATGCAATTTTAGAATATAAATTATAAAATATATTATCTTGCACAAGAATAATCCGAACTTTTAAACCTTTTTCCCCTTTTAAATTCAATTCAAATACATTTAACAAAAAGATAGACAATACATACATATATGCGTGTGTGTATGTTTATGTATATGTATATGTACCTATGGATACAACTAAACCACACAAATCTTACTTACAAGCAGAGAGGCAAAACAGAAGACCTCATTGTCTGGTTCTGGCTGTTCCAACACGGGCACGTCAACCCCATGCTTCAATTCTCAAAGCATTTGGATCATAATAAAGGTGTGAGCGTCACAGTAGTTACCTCTCGCTTCCTCTGCAACATCTTACAATTCAAATCATCCTCCATAGCTCTCGAAAGCATCTCCGACGGCTTTGACGACGGAGGATTACGGCCGCTGCAAGTGACAAAGCTTACATCGATCGTTTCTGGGACGTAGGGCCAAAGACTTTCGAAGAACTTTTACAGAAGCTCACATGTTCTGGGAATTCAGTTGACTGTGTTGTGTATGATTCGTTCATACCCTGGGCTCTTGAAGTAACCAAGAAGTTTGGGATTATGGGAGCTGTGTTTTTCACTCAATCGTGTGCAGTGAACAGTATATATGATCATATTTATCATCGAAACTTGAAGATTCCTGCGACTGATGATGATAAGTCTGAGATTTTACTTCCAGCGTTGCCTCCATTTGCTTCTTGTGACTTGCCGTCTTTCTTATATGTTTTGGGGCCTTATCCAGCTTTCACAGGCATGGTTGTGAATCAGTTCTCTAATATTGAGAAAGCAGATTGGCTGCTTTGTAATTCCTTTTATGAGTTTGAACCACAGGTCGGTAATTGTCAATTTAACTTCTATTATAAGTTAGCAACCCCATTTCCTATTAACAATCGAAAGCTTCCAAAAAATTGTGCAGGAATTCCGTCTTGTTGAGTCGATATTTCTTATTTTATAATTGTCCCATATACAAACTTAAAAGGGATCCCGATTGTCTGCAGTCATACTTCACTGCAGACTGTAAAGTCATTTAAATTTGGTTGAGAAATAGTGTTTGTAATCAACACTCTCTTGCCACATGAGCTAATTCCAAATGACCATACAATAGTATTTTGTCCCTTTCATTTTAAACTTGGATAAGACTGCTGATTGGCAAGCAAAAATCTTAATCATGTTTTTGGCTTTTTGCATATCATACTCGAAAGCTGTTCATGTTACATCTTCTGGCACATCTTAGGTGGCTGATTGGCAGGCAAAAATCTTCCCTCTGAAGACAATAGGTCCAACCACACCATCAATGTTCTTAGACAAAAGACTCAAAGATGACTATGCCTACGGTTTCAGCTTTTACAGGGAAGAAGACGAAGCTTGCACGAAATGGTTAAGCAACAAGCCATCTGGGTCTGTCGTTTATGTCTCATTTGGAAGTTTAGTAGCTCTTGACAGTGATCAAATGGACGAGATAGCTTGGGGTTTGAACGGTAGTGGAAGTTACTTCTTGTGGGTGGTAAGAGAATATGAGAACCCTAAGCTTCCTAAGGACTTCATGGAGATTTCACAGAATAAGGGACTTGTGGTCACATGGTGTCCTCAACTGCAAGTGCTGAATCATAAAGCTGTGGGCTGCTTCGTGACACATTGTGGATGGAACTCAACAGTGGAGAGCTTAGGGGTTCGAATTAATGGTGGCAGTTCCTCAGTGGACAGACCAACCCACAGATGCAAAGTACATAAAGGATGTGTGGAAGGTTGGAGTGAAAGCTGAAGCGGATGAGAAAGGAGTTGTGAGAAGAGAGACAGTGAAGAAATGTATAGAGGAAGTAATGCAGAGTGAAAGAGGGAAAGAGATGAAGAAGAACCCCATGAAATGGAAGAGTCTTGCAGCAAAGGCTTGTGAGGAAGATGGAAGTACTGATAAGAATATTGATGACTTCGTAGCAAGTGTTGCTGCAGCTTCTAGCTACTAAATGCCAATGAGGTTGAAGAAATAGAGCACTATTTTTCTTGAACCATACCCGCTACCTTCACCCAAAAGAAAAAAAAGCATGTTCTATAATTTATTCGTAATTTGTAATTGCATCTATGTTACCCATTTTTTGTTTGCACTTCATATCGATTATGCTCGTTCCAATTGAGAAAGGTGCATATGAGTGTACGTAAGAAGAGGTTTTAGGAAATGCATATGCGAGAGTTCTTTTTGCTACTTCTTCTCAGGTCTGCTGGTAATTTCATTTGTTCAGAAGCATCTGGTTCTCTCTTATTTCACAGTGTACCGTGCTCTCTCTTCTCTTTTGATGTGTTATGTATTTGGTGTGTGTCCAAAACCTTGTCCGTCTCTATGATCTAATTTTGTGTGGGTGTTCAAGTTAGTCAAATCGCACTCCAAGTACGCCCTAAACCTTGCAGTTGCGCGTGCGCTCACACACACATTTAAAGAGCAGATTTCCATCAGAATTATGGGGTATTAACCAAAGGGTTTATTATAAAGAAACCAACAGCTCTATCCTTATTACAAATAACTAATTTAATTATTTTTATTAATATTCATAAATTAGTTATCTATCTCCTAGTTTTAGATTCACAAGTATATACTACGTCGGGTCTTTAATATAACAGCTAATAAACTAATTTGAGTAGAATAAGAAAATTCGTTCAGTTAATTATTTGTAATAAATAGGTGTTATCTTTTCTAAAATATCCTTACTAATCAAATGTATTAGTTGAAACTATTATTTGATGAAACTTTTAATAGGTACAATTACTACAAAGACTATCTTGGAAAGAAAAATAAATAAATATGATAAACAAAATGGATCGATGTCTTATATTTAAGATTAAACTGAAAGTCAAATTAGTTCTTATACTATCTCTGGTCCTTAATATAAGACCCCAGTTCACTGTAGTAGTTGCACATGTTAAAGGTTTCATCAAATAGTAGTTACAGCTAATACGCATAACTAGCAAAGATATTTTAGGAAAGACAACACATATTTATTATAAATAATTAACTTAACAAACTTCCTTAATCTACTCAAATTAATCAACTAACTCTTATATTAAGGAGTAGAGATAATATTAAATACCGGAGGTAGTATGCAAGTCGCAGTGCAATCTTGGTAGCCCTGCAACTTGCAAGCACAATCTGAACTTCCGGAATCAAGGTTTGGTGGGAGGAGTTATATATTCCACGCACCTGATGTGTTGCGACACGAGGCAATATTTATGGAGTCAAAATAATCAATATAATGGTGTTGAAATTTTGGTCTTAATCAGAGAGTTCTAGACGAAAAGAGTGAGAACGACAAGACCAACGAGGAGAACAAGATCAGACAGGACCATATGCCGGTTCAAGTTTCGGAGATTTGGAGAGACAAGACAAACTAAACAAGAGTAAGAATCTATTTGAGATTTTACTATTCAAACTGCCTCTTATGTGCACCATTTATAATTTGTAAACTTATTGTCTGACATGGATTTTGTGTGTCACAACTTTTATGGTCAAAGGATAATCATACTTCTAAGAAAGTACGTTGTGGTGTAGATGCTCCTTATTGGTCTAACTTATAAACATATTGCGTGCGAGCCAATTATTGGTGCAAACATTAGCGTACCATTTTCTTTGTGTCATTAATTTCTACATAAAATGAGAGATATTCTAACATCTTACGATCATGAAACAATGCAATTCACAAACCAGATTAAACTCACGACCTCTCACTTTCACCAAGAGGAGATCATTCACGTCATTCATATCACTAAACTACAAGATGATTCCACGACTTTGTATATACCGTTGGCTCCTTTAATGGAGCACGCCACGCATAAAGTGGGAGAGGCTGATTCTGTCAGTGTCATTTCCTTATACATGGCATTTGCATATCGCTTGCTGCCTTGTTCATTCAATTATAAATTTAAAATGGTCCCTGAATTTATATCCACGCAAACCGTGAATAGCATCAATTGCACTTTTTTACGTGAAGTGAAAAAATGAATTTTGCTATGATAACGAAAAATTTTGAAATGAATCTAACGACTAAAAATATTCATAGTCACAAGAAAATAATGCTTAGGAAAATATGTGCGCGTGGGGATGTATTTATGTTTATGCTGAAAGAGATATTCTGCAATTTGAGAATATAAATCATAAAATAGATTTTCTTGCACAATAATAGTTTGAACTTTCAAACGTTGGAAAAATTTCATTTAAAGATCACTGTGGCCAATTAATATCAGTTAAGCCCCAAAACATTTGAAAACTTCAATCAACCCCCTTAGAGCAAAATAAAATTAAAATTTAAGGATAAAAATATAATACTATCCCTTCTTTTTATTTCTTTAAAAAATAAATATTAATGGTTGTTGGAGCTCTAGGATCTAGAGGTTGGAGGTCTGGGCCGCCGGCGCTCAAGTGGCCGGTACCTAGCCAACCAGGCCATTTAATCATATGATGCAAAGAAATATATATATGCATATAACAAAACAAATGTAAGTGTTTAAATGTAAATGAATAAGTGAAATTCAACAATTTGCAAGTGAAATTCAGTAATTCACAACAAAAATTTGGCGATTTACAAGTAACATAATAGAATTCACAACTCCAAATGCAAGTATTTTTGTGTGAATGAGCAAGTGAAATTCAAAGATTTACAACAAAAATTCATGGACTTCTAACCCAAATTCAGCTATTCACAAGAAATATAAGAGAATTTACAACCCCAAATATAAGTGTTTGAGTGTGAATGAACAAATGAAATTTAGTAATTTATGATAAAAATTCAGCGATTTACAACCTAAATTCAAATATTCACAGAAAACACAAATATTACAAGAATTCACAACCTCAAAAGTTTTGCTAATTAAGGCACCGGAGCTTATATTCAGGGAGGCTTCATTTAAGTTGTGAATTCCATTATACTTCTTAGACACATTGTGCATTAATTTAAATTGTACTTCAAATATCTAAATTTTTTTAACTTGTGAATTTATTCATTATGATCTATTATATATAGAATTATGAGTTAGTTATCAAAGGCTTTGATATATGTGTGTGTGGAGCCAGAAGAAATGAAGATTGTACATGAAGAATCATATTATTCATAATATGTCGTCCACGTAACATTATTTATATTGCAAACCATATTTTAATATCTTATTAGTTGTGAAAAATTATAATATTGTGAACACCCAATTTTATCCAAGTCCCACAAAATTATTAAATGTAAATGAAATTACAGAAAAAGAAAAAAAGAAAAATAAAAGATTAATATCATCCTTGATTCTTTCTTGGAGGCTAAGTTTGAGAAGTCAAAAAAAAATTAAACAAGAATATCCTTCTTGCAATAAATGGCAATAAAATAAAAGATAAGGATTAAAAGCCAATTTAGGAAATATAAGGTGGACACATTAAGGAGGGAAATAAGAAAATCAGAAAATAAAAATAAAAATTTCTCATTTAAGATGATTGGCTCCTCAATTTAGAAACATATTTTGGAGTTATAATAGTAGAAAAATAAAAACGAAAATTAAAATAAAAAAACACAATTTGATGATGATTTGGTGCTTAAATAGGACGTTACATTATGAGTCACAATTAAAAAAAAATAAAAAATAAAAATAAAAATAAAAAATAAAAATAAAAAATCACAATTTGATGATGATTTGGTGCTTAAATAGGAAGTTGCATTATAAGTCATAATTAAGAAAAATTAAAAAACGAAAATAAGAGAAAAATTAGAAAACCCTAGATGGAGCCTATAAATAAGAGAGTAAGGCTTAGAGGAAAGGACTCAGAATTTCCTAGTGAAGAAAGGAGGCAAGGTAGAGAGCTTTTCTATCATTTTATTTTATGACAATGAGTTGGGTTGGGGAAAGAGAGATGAGGCCTAACTAGAGAAAAATCTTTTGCTCATCTTCTTCTTTCTTCTACCCACGAAAAGCATATACCCTTGTAATTATTATCACTACTCCCCTTTCTTAATGGTTTGTTCAAAATATGCCTTTATCTATTTATCACCCATATATACTCACTTTGATATCTACTATCTTCTTTTTTATTTTCATTTTATTTCATTTATTCTATTTTTGGTTCATGTCTTTTTACCAATATGTATATATAGTTTTTATTTGTTGGCTTACTACATAATGTATTCCTTTTTTAGCCAATTGATAAGTAAAGCATCAAGTATGAATTTTCATTCCTATCTATTATGCTTATCTTGAGTTTCATGTTGATTTATTTTTTTAGTGTTCTTTCTTTCTATTTTTGAAAGTACTTCTCTTTGTAAAATCTATACCATGTGATGTTCTTAGAACCTCTACAGGTATCTAGATTTATTGGTAAACCGTGTGAGACTATGAGAGTTTTCACAGGAATACCAATGTGATTGTGCAAATTTTTCTTTTGAAATAAAAAGAAAGAAGATAAGTTTGGCACCATATTTATAAATAAATAATAGAATAGAAAATCTTCTTAAAATATGTATATGTAATCTCAAAATATTTTTTTTAGAGCCGTGTGAGGTTTTTGAAACCCTCATAGGCTCTAACGATTATTCTCCCGTGTGAGGTTATAGGAAACTCTGTATGGAGGATAATCCAAAATTTCTTTCAAAAAAATTTTTTGAATAAAAATACAGAATTTGTTTTCATATATTAAAAAATACAAACCCACCAAAAAACAGTTTTTTTAATTGAATAAATATTTTCTAAAAACTTCCAACCAAATGACACCTATTTTTTACCCCGGAACTATGTGGGCTTTGATCCCTCTAAAAGGTATGTAGGCCCAAAGTTTTTATTTTAAGACAAATCCAACTTTATAAATAATTTTTTTGTTTTTGTAAATAAAATTTTTTTTCTTTGTTTCTACCTTTTTCTTTAGGAGAATTAAAATATAATTAAAAAGGCTATATTAATTTTAAGTAGTTGACTTAGGGTAACTATTCTCTTGAACGAGTGTTATGGGGTGCCTAACACCTTCTCCACATGCAATCGACCCCCAAACCCTATCCAGTTTTCATAGACAATGTTTTTTAGGTTTCCAAAATTATCTTTTTAAAATTTTAGTGTGGCGACTTCTCTTTCTTTTCCTTTTAGGAGATGAGATTTGGGCGTGAAAAATATAATTACATCATAATGTATGTGATGAACACAAAATCAGTAAAAGAGCTAACTTGAGATCATTAGCATTATGAAGAAACGGAAATTAAATACAGGCAATGTGTAATTAATTCTAATACAACGTTACATATTCCTTTTTATTTGACCAAGCCTTAATTAGCAAAACTAAGAAGATGCCAATCTTCACTTAATGTCACTAGAAGCAGTGAAACCTCCTTAAATAGAAGCTCTGGTGCCTTAGTTAGCGAAATTTTTGAGGTTGTGAATTCTCTTATAAGTTTTGTAATATTTATGTTTTCTGTAAATATCTAAATTTGAGTTGTAAAGCGTTGAATTTTTGTTGTAAATTGCTGAATTTCACTTGTTCATTCACACTCAAACACTTACATTTGAGTTTGCGAATTCGTTTATGTTTCTTGTAAATTGCCAAATTTGAATCATAAATCCATGAATTTTTGTTATAAATCTTTGAATTTCATTTGCTCATTCACACATAAAATACTTGTATTTGGAGTTGTGAATTCCATTATGTTACTTTTAAATCGCCAAATTTTTGTTGTAAATTACTGAATTTCACTTGTTCATTTACACTTTGACACTTGCATTTATTTTATATATATATATATATAATTCTTTATATCATGTCATTAAATGGTTTGTTTGGCTTGGTGATCACATTACTTTTGGTATGCCAAGGGTAATTGGTTCAAACCCCTCTTGGCCACCTTTTTTAAAAAAAAAAAAATCCTTCAGCCACCAGAGCTCCAACCTCTATTGCCAGCAACTGGAGCTCCGACCTCTAGCGATGGCTGCCTGGGTGCCAACGGCTGGACCTCTGACCTTCAACCTCTAGCAGTCGAGCACCGGCAACCATTAACATTTATTTTTAAAAAAAATAAAAACAAGGGGTCGTATTGCAAATTTATTTTTAAATTTTAATTTCATTTTGGTGGGGGTTGACTAAAGTTTTCAAATGTTTTGGAAGTTGACTGACATAAATTGGCTATAATAGTCCTTAAATGAAATTTTCCCTTAACCTTTTGTCCGTCTTATATTCCTTCCAAATACAACAAAATGATAGACAACACATAAAAATCCGCGAGTCCCACAAAAGAAAGTTACCTCGAAGTAGCAGTCTTATAAGGACTTGAGCTCTCCAACTCCAGCAGCTAGTAGACTTTAGGTGTTTTTTTCCCTAAGAACTTGATGCTAGACAAAAATGATGCATATACAAATTTTATATACACCCCCTCCTCTTATTTTATTTATAAGGCTAAGAGAAAAAGTTTTTCTTCGCTTTATTTATAAATTACGTCATTAAATTTTTAGTATGAATATATTATTTTTTCATTCATTTATTATAGTGTCTTATTATTCTTTTGGAAAGTATATATAGTAAATAAGGGTAAAATTCTGGTAAAAAAAAAGGAATAAAATTAAAATGTTGTTATATTTTAAGATAGAACCAATATAAGTTAAGAATTCTTTTATTTATGTGGAATATGCTCAAAATGCTTTATAAATAGGACCCGGGAAGGAGTATATATGGATCTAACTAATTAAACCACACAAATATTACTCTCAAGCACTCAAAAAATGGAAGAGAGGCAAAACAGAAGACCTCATTGTCTGGTTTTGGCTTTCCCAACACGAGGGCACATCAACCCATTGCCCTTATGGTAACCAAGCAGTTTGTGTAAATCTAAGAGTAAAATACATTCACCTCCCCTCTATTTTGGGGGGGGGGGGGGGAACCATGTAAGACACTCTTAAACTTGAAATGCATGTTACACTATAACCTCCTTTTTAATCTTAAGATTCACTTTCATCCATTTAGTTAAAACTATAAGAATTTATGAAACTATATAAATTGGTATTTTTAAAGCTAAATTACATAAATTTCCTTGAATTTTGTTATCTCGAGTAAATTAAAAATATAAACAACAGTTTATTTTAAAATAAAACTAAAATCTAAAAAGCGTTTTTACTTTAGAATTTGTTATCCTATGTGCATATAGCTAGCCACTTTATTTTACCAACCCCTTCAAACTGTAAGTTTTATATAAATAAAGATAATCCCCTTAACGTAGGAGACTTGATTTATTTTGTACGAGACTTGATTTATGAATCCTGTCCGCAAACATATTTTCCCTGAAAACTGTTAATTAATTACATCTTTTGAACATATTAGGTGGCTGACTGCCAAACAAAACTCTTCCCTCCAAGACAAAAGGGTCCAACCATACCATCAATGTTCTTAGACAAAAAGACTCAGATGACTAAGCCTATGGTTCATCAGCTTTTACGATGAAGAAGACGAAGCTTGCGTGAAATGGTAAGCAACAAGCCATGTGGGTCCGTAGTTTATGTCTCATCTGAAAGTTTAGTAGCTCTTGACATTGATCAAAATAGTTTGGGCCTTGAAGGATGGTGGAACTTACTTCTTATGGTTGGTAAGAGAATCAGAGAAACCTAGGCTTCCTAAGGACCTCTTGGAGATTTCAGAACACAAGGGGCTTTTCGTTGTATCTAAATTAAAAAGAAACAACACCAGTTTTAGAGTGACTATTCTTTGAAAAATCATTAAAAAAATTGAAAACAGCACAATTTTTTGTTCAAAATATCAAAATTTCATTCGTTTTATAAAATCTAATGTAAAAGAAAATTGAGGGGCAGCAGAGATAGGGCAACTAACACTCCAAATCCGTCCTCAACTACAAGTATCAAATCATGTCTCTGGATTGCTTTGTGACATATTGTGGATGGAACTCGACAGTGGAATCTTTGGGCTTAGGAGTTCCAATGCTGGCAGTTACCCAGGGGACAGACCAACCCACAGATGCAAAGTGCATAAAGGATGTGTGGAAGATAGGAGTGAAGGCTGAAGCTGATGAGAAAAGAGTTGTGAGAAGAGAAACAGGGAAGAAATTAAATGTATAGAGGAAGTGATGCAGAGTGAAAGAAGGAAGGAGGTGAAGAAGAATGCCATGAAATGGAACAGTCTTGCTGCAAAGGCTTGTCATGAAGGTGGAAGTAGTGATAAGAATATTGATGACTTGGTAACCAGTTTTACTGCTTCTACCAAATTCCATTAACATGACTGAAAAAAAAAAATTAGTGATGATTTTTCTCAAGTGTCATCCCCATATTATTTACAATAGTTTTCTTTCTTAAGGCAAGCATAATACTAAATTACGTGACTGTAGAGACAGAAGGCTGGTGAGGCTAATGTGAATCGTTTCCCCAGACCACCACTTCCTTTGGCAGAAAGGTAGAAGGTGGATCGGATATAATAGTCCAACCCAAACTGTAGTATAAAATTGTGGTTATAATTGGTAATTCTCTTGTTTTCTATTTGAAGGTACCTTAGAATTTTATAATGGTTGTCACAGCTTTGGTTTTGGAGATTCCTTTGTTACTGGGATAACTCTCGGGCCCGTCCAATGAGATGCATGAGAATTAATTTTGATATTGATGAATGTAAATGTCAAAGTGTGGCACATTTTTGGCAGCTTTGAATGTGTATGGTGTTCTTTGGTTTTCTTTCTGGCCTGATGTCTTGAGCAGGTTGGTTTACTGTTAGAATGGGGTTGGGTTGCGTCATTAGTATGTGTTTGGAATCATGTTTAGCATCACTTATAAATATATTTCATATAAAATAAGATAAAACTTCTTTCATATACTTACCTCCTATTCCGTAACTCATGATTCAAAAACTACTTATGAGTCTTCCAAACAGGCAATAGATTGGTATTCAACCAAGCCATGTTAGATTTTGGATATCTAGTTTCCATTGGTCTGGAGTCATTGTTGTCAATTTGGGTGTCTGGGATCTATTATTTGCTACCTCCTATCCCGAATATAAAAGCTAATAGCGGGTTGAATTTAATCTTAAGTATAAGATCACAATTCTTATTTATCCAAACTATCCTATTGATTGTATATATTAAAGGAGTTTGCATCAAAAAGTAGTTTTAATCCAAATGATTTAATAAGGCATTTTAAGAAAACCAATATAACCTTTTCACAAATAATTATTCAACTACTTTTCTTAATTTACACAAATTAATTAAGTAGATCTTATATTAAAAACTGGAATTTGAATTTAGTAGGGTAGAAACTATGATATTATAAATAGAATCAAATTTTAATTTTTCATTTATAAAAAAAATTTTCATGTCACTAAATTATAAAAACATTTAGTGTAAGGGAGCCAGTTTGAACGAGATTCCAATGTGTTGCACCGGAGTGTATCGCACTGCTGCATATTGGACTCTGAGGGAGATAAAAAATTCGGATATTCTATCATCGTTCGAGGATATTCGCAATCTTCGCTACTAAATTTAAATAACTTCAATTTTATTTTATTTTTACGATTTTAATATTTTAAAAAATAGAAATAAAAGTAGAAAATATATTTTAAATCGCTGATCGGAAAAAGCCCTTGCATCATGAGGGCACACCCATCAACATTTTTTTGGGTGAAATCTATCAACACCTTTATGCCCACACAAAGCCGATCCAAAAATTTAGAAAGTGGAGCAGAAATTACAGAATAAATGTGTAATAACAATACATTCTATTAGGTCATAATATATTAATGTTTTTAATATTGATTTAAATTTAAAGAAAAAAGAAAATTTAAATGTCTAAGTGAAATGAAAATTTTAAATCTCATCAACACTTGGTGAGAATATAGGTTGTATCGTATATTGGGTGTAACCATGTAAATAATTCGTAGGCAATCAGAATCATATTCCCTTATAAAGTTACACGTCTAGCTATATAAATATATATATATATATATATTTAAATATATACACACACATATTTTGGGGGTTACCTTGCCTAGAAGCATCGATCGCATTAGTAATACCCTCCTTGCACGGCCCGCCCCCTAAGCCAGGTTTATTAAAACTTCCAGCATTTTTGTCCCATTCAAATCAAATGACCTTTTTTAGATAAAAGTTTAGTTATCTCAAAGGTCATAGTCAAGAAGACCTATGCATTTCGCAGAGTCTAAAAATCAGCACACTATTCAGGGTTTATAAATAAAACAACTTCCTAACTGTAACTTTTTCTACAAGTTTCCTTCTCACAAAGTTTCCTTCTCACACTTAGGTCCTATTTGATAGGAAGCATTGAAAATTAGGGGTAGAGATTGGGATTGAGAATGAGAAAATCTATTAAAAGAGTGTTTAGTATATAAATTTACTTGATATGTGGAATTAGCCAAATCCATGTATGTGGTATTAAAGAATACCATGGAGGAGGTAGTATTCTCCAATTCTTTCTATGAGTTTGTCTAATCCCATATAACAAGGCAATTACTCATACTAAATACTATCGTAATGATTTTTCTTAATTACAATCTCAATCCCTATCCTTCATTTTTAATGTTTCGTACCAAACAGAACCTCAATCTCCCCCCCCCCCCTCTCCTATCCTTCTCTCTGCACTTGAGCCCAAAAACTCAGACAATGTACAAGTTCAAACATGAGATTAGCAACCATTCTCTCGATGCACAATGCCCCCCAAGACAAACCATCAAGGGAGTTACTGTCAAGTGACATTTCTTACCTTGTAACTGATATTTTTAGCGCTGCACATTCTTAAACCGTAGAAGGCAATCAAACTATCTAGCAACTCAAATATTCTTCTTTTTTTAATCAGTTGATATCAACTCAAATGCTCTTTTTGATAAAATAGTCAAGGAAAATATCTGCACTGTGGACCAGAGAATTCTACTATAATATCGATACATACCTCACCTATATCCATTGAGAGTCCGTGCGTGATTATATTATATTGGTGTTTCAATAATGAGAGCCCAGAGCTAGATCTAGATCATCTAAATTGTCTATTGCATTAACATTTTATTAAGAGTGCAAAGAAAGAGACAATCACGTATTAAATTGATTACACATACCCTTATTATGTACATATATGGCTTACCGTTTCAACTATTTTCTTCCCGTGCGACAATAAGTTCCTCGAAATTGGCAGCATCGCCAGGATCTGTGGGTACCAGTATCTCATCATCAGCTGTGAAATGGTATCTGCTCCCAATTGCTCTAAGAAGCTGGTACACTTCAAACATAGTGGGTCTTTCCTTTGGATTTGGTGAAACACAGTTACATGCAACCTTAAGAAATTGGAAAATCTCCCCATCAACACCCTTCCCAAGAAGTGATTCATCAATAGCATCCTGGAGTTCAGATTTGCTTGAGAGATTTGAAATCCACTCTGACAAATTTCCCTTGAAACTTTCAGGAGCTTTCGCCACATGGGTAGGCCTCTCACCTGTCACCAACTCTAGAAGCACAGTACCAAAGCTATAGACATCCCCCTTCGGTGTAGCCACCAGCGTTCTTGTATATTCAGGAGCAACATAACCAAGGTCTCCAAACTCCCCATTTACAAAAGTACTCAGATGTGTGTCAATTGGATTCATCAATCGAGCAAGGCCAAAATCAGAAATTTTTGGCTCAAAATCTGCATCCAACAAGATGCACCTAGAGCTTATGTTTCGGTGGATAATACGAGGATTGCAGCTATGATGAAGCCATGCTAATCCTTTGGCTGCTCCAATTGCAATTTTTAGCCTTATAGACCACTGCATGGTGCTCCGATCAGTATCAGGATGTAGCTGATCATGAAGGCTTCCATTTTCCATATATTTATACACCAAAAGCCTCTCCTGTTTGGCCACACAAAAACCTAAAAGGGAAACCAAGTTACGATGTCTAACAGTCCCCAGTGTGGCCATCTCAGACGCAAATTCCTTTTCTGAGTACTGAGATTCCTGCAACCTTTTAACCATGAGCACTGAGCTCCCATCATGAAGGACAGCTTTGTACATGGTCCCTGTTCTTCCTGAACCAATGATATTGCTTTTACTGAAGTTGTTCGTTGCCTTCATGAGATCACTCAATCTCATTTTTGAAACTGACTTTTCAAACATAGAAACCTGATGTCCAATTCAGAAAAGTTAAAGCATAATATCATCATAAGACCTGCAAAGTATATAAAACTACATAACCTGTATTACTTGTTTCACAGAATATCAAGTGTTAAAAAATAATTTTTCAATAGCCTTTTTTAAATACTTTAGTAGCAAATGTATCATTTTCCTGGACATCCTGCTGGGGAAAAAGTAGTTTAAAAAAGAAATTTGATAACTGATGGAAACACAAATTGAGAATAAAACTCATGTATTAGAAATGTTTTAATTAAAAAAAATTAAGAAATTAATTTCTGTCAGATATGCTTTCTACAGTGATTTTATGTTCAAGAATGTCCATGAAGACCAGAAAAATGAATGTCTCCTCCTAGTGCAACCGTATATAATATTTGTGATGCATTAATATAGCTTGCCTTTATTCCTTTCGTTCCCTTTAGACTTCTTGCCCATTTATTTCCCTCAGGATCCTCTTCCTTCTTCACAGAGACTCGGCGGACAAAGAAGAATGCCCCAATACCCAATGCTAGCGCTGCAACAGTTACCCCACCAACGGCAGCACCAGCAATAACTGCAGTGTTAGCCTTCTTACCCTGGCATGGCCCCAAGGGACCCCCACAAAGTCCTGAATTATTTGAATAGCTATCTGCTGTTATACTATCTTTGCTTTCAAAAGATGGAACAGGCCCTGTCAAAAGATTATTTGAGACAGAAAAAGTCTTAATCCGTCGAAGCTGGGCAAGTTGTGGAGGAATTTGACCAGTTAGTTGATTTTGATCGAGTTTAAGGGTATTAAGATAGGAACAATTTGAAAGGTTCACAGGGATCGCTCCTGAAAAGTCATTTGATGAGAGGTCCAGGGTTACTACAAAGCCGAGAAGCTTATCAATATCTGCTGGGATGGTTCCAGAAAGATCATTGATTGAAAGATCCAATCCAGTTAAGCTTGAGCAATTTTGTATGGCACGAGGAAAGTGAC